TCTCGCGTATGGATTTCTATTTTCTGCCGAAGTACAGCGTCTCGAGTTACTTCGAGTGCTTCTCGATCATGAAAATTATTCGTACGATCGTGGGAAGCTTTGGCTGTGGGCTGCGGATGTTATACCTTTATTGTACTGCATGAAAAAAGAGCTCAATAAATTTCTTTTCAATAACAACTTCAGAAGAAGTTGCGAGACGATATTAATCCAAATATTTTATTGAAGTACGAACGAAATTGCAGTCGCTTTTGTGGTGTATTTTTTTTTTAAAGAAACTTCCATTTATTGATCCTCGATTTTAAAGGACTGTTATGATTTTGACAATTTTTATTTCGCACACAGATCCGCAGTATTTTCATCGGTAATTCTGGATCGTATACATCCGCGGCAAACGTAATTAGACGCAATTTAACACTAAACCTACCGCGGTCAAAGTGACCGCTTTTTTATTTTGCAATTCTGCAAAGTTCCGAGACTCTTTCGTGGAAAACGCTTGAATAAGTTATATTATTGGAGCAAGTTTTATAATAAAAACTTTATAAATTCTAAATAAATTCGGTCTTCTCGCTTTTGTGAAGCAGTACATGCCAGTTAGTATTACTGCTTGATAGGTTTAGTGTTAAAATAATTGAATTATAAGAATTATGAGAATTATGAGGATTATGAGAATTATGAGAATTATGAGAATTATAAGAATTATAATAAATATAAGAAGTACAAGAATTACAGGAATTACAAGAATTACAAGAAAATTATAAGAAAATTACAAGAATTACAAGAATTATAATAAATATAAGAAGTACAAGAATTACAGGAATTACAAGAATTACAAGAAAATTGTAAGAAAATGTTAAGAATTACAAGAATTATAATAAATATAAGAAGTACAAGAATTACAAGAATTACAAGAAAATTATAAGAATTGAAGAATGCCTATATGTTATTTCGAGCCCCCCGAAATTATTGGAGAAAAAAGGAATTCGTCAAATTCCTATAACGATAAACGAAGAAAATCGTAATTTTGCATAAAGATCAGCAGTAACCAAGTTCGCAACTAATCAGCAGCAGCAAAAATCGTGGCAGCGATCGCAGAGTTTAATAAGAGAGAACCGAGAGGTTTGGGTAAACGTTTGTCCTGTTTGCGTTGGACGTTTATGCGAGCTGTCCGAGCCAGCGTCCCTTCGGTGGCCAAGGCTGAATGGGCGACGGTGTTGGGACGCTTGACACTTAGATGTCTCCAAGCTGATGGAGCAGGTTCCTTCTCCCGTGGAAACGAGAGGAACACCCGAAGGAGGTTGCCGCGTAGCGTTCCTAGTCAGGGGTCTGGGTTTTGTATCGTCTCCATGGCAACCCTCCCAATGTCTTATCAAATTATCACCTTGTCCTCCCCCATGCTCCTCCTCGTCCTGCTCCTCTCTCCGACTGCCATTCGCCACCCCTTCGGTTTCACCCTCCTTTCTCCTTTCGACGAAACAACCGAAGAAGCGGCCGGCGAAAGAGGATACAAAGCGATGGTCACTTCCGTAGGCTTCTAACAACCTATGGGACCCCCGGCTCGCAGCCGTCCACGATCCTCTGTCCACCTTCACGCACCCACCCACTCGAGGGTCGCCACGGAACATTTAATTCATTATTCAGGGGAATGAAAAATTCAGGGAGTCCCGGCGGCCGATGCCGTACACCGTGCGGCGCTGCCTGCGAATGAGGACGGCCATACCCTCCTCCACCTTCTTTATCTTTTTGATTTCCCTGGAAGGTATCTCCGAACTTTCGACGAAAAGCTCGGTTTCTCGCGTCAATTGATTTCCACGGAGAACCGCCCATTGATTTGGCTTCGAGGCAAAGGGGCCGCATCGATGTTGGAAATTAGAGGATCTTCGAACTCGATAGTCAGCTTGCCGCTTTGCATCGATTCCGAAGGATCGGACATTATTTTCGTCGTCGAGCGATAGCTACCCTGAAGAGACAAATTGCCAACCGATTGGCAACCAGCAAGAGAAACTCGGAATCGTCGCGTCCATTTGTCGGAGCACTCGGCGAACTGGGAAGAGTAATATTTTCTCGGGTCGGCGGTCGGATCAGAAACAGATAAGTCGAATGTTTTCTCATCGGGCGACAGCGGGCCGGGTGCTGGGGGTGGCGTAGAGGGCCACTTGTCGGACCGCCGACAAAAGTTCATCCGGAACGTCACCGAGGCTCGTCAACCCCTTGCAACGAGCCGAAAGCGTGCACTTGACTCGTCGCACCCCCGAAAGGCGCACCTAACTGCGAAGGTAACGCGAAGTAACGCCTCGTCCCCTCGCAGCTATTCCGGCTGCTGGCTCGCGCACGAACAATATTTGCAGAGCTCTTATTCCCGCACTTCCCAACCCCGTAAGCGCCGCTTCAACCCCCTTCGCCGCCCCCCTTTGCGACCCCTGACCGCGCCGCCCCTCGTGTGCACCAGCAACCACCTAGCTACCTACCTAATAATGATTTTACGTTACGCCATGCCGGTCCCCGGGGAATCCGACGGTGCCGCACCCTTATTGCACATGGCCCGTGCTCACGACGAAGGGAACAACGAACGGGGGCGGACGGGGGGGGGGGACTGAAAAGAGAGGACTGATTATCATTAGCAGCCCAGTCCCAGAACACCCTCGGTTTACTGCTTGACGCACGTACGCACGCCAACTCCGTGCTCGGGGATTTACTCTCGTCGGAGAGGCAGGGGGTGCGCCCGATCAGCCACGATTTTAATTGAACTAGTTGACTGTGAGACAGGTTTCGGTACTCTGCGACCTGCTGGGGACTCGAACTTTTTAGTTTCGAGGGGGTATCCGGTATTGTTTAGATACCCTGAAAATTTTCACGAGATTTGGTGACTTGGTTAGACTTTGCAGTTTTATCACACTTCTGTGCTTCAATTGGAAATTAATCTACGAGTTTCTGGCAACACAAACTAGTTGAGCAAGATGGCTGCTTTTGAGACTCTGCGACTACTGAGAACTCAGACTTTTTAGTTCCGAGGCGAGACAGGGTATCCAGTCTTGTTTAGATACCCTAAAATTTTCATAAGGTTTGGTGACTTGGTTAGACTTTCCAGTTTTATCACACTTCTGTGCTTCAATCGGAAATTAATCTACGAGTTTCTGGCAACACAAACTAGTTGAGCAAGATGGCTGCTTTTTAGATTATGCGACTGCTGGGAACTCGGATATTTTAGTTTCGGGGGAAAAGAGTCTTGTGTAGATACCTTTTTTTACACCATGCAGCAACTGACTTTCTAATTCAGACCTTCTAATTCCAACATACTGCTATATCTCGAATTAATCTATATTATTCGACATAACCTAGATCCATATAATTAATCTATAAATAGTCAACATGGACTAGAGTATTATATTTTGTATTCAGTGACATAAAAGCACAAGATTCGAGACATCTTCGTCGAGGGATTGAAATAGCTTGTAAAAAGTACAGCAATTCTCCCCAATTTTCCTTCAGCTTGTAAACTAAAATGAACAATTTGGGAAGAGGAGGCACGATCATATAATAACCTTGACATTACCTCGTTTATACAATTGTTGACAATCGGCAGCTATAAAAATGAGCCGCGAGGCCCGAATAATCGTATCTCCACTTCCCAAATTGTCCATTCCTGTTTACAAGCTGAAGAAAAATTAGGGAGAATTTACTGTATTCTGCGAGGAACCGCGAATGTTGGCCAAAGTTTGGCGAACCCCGTCCGTATGGTGACGGCGTCAGGATTTGTGATTAAAGGGAAATGTTATCGATCAAAACCGACGTCTTTCTGCCT